AAGAAGAAGAGAGAAATTGAAAGTCTTAAAGAAAGTAAAAACTTTGAAAAAGAAAGAAAGAAAGAAAGAAGAAAGAAGAGAGAAGAGAGAAGAAAGAAAATGAATAAATGAGGCTTGAATTCTCTGAAAGTTGAAAATGGTTGCATGTGGGGCATCTAGAGTCGAAATAAGAAAAGAAAAATGGAAAGTAGTGTGGATTGTGCATGGGTTTGGAAAGTGAAGATAAGTGGAGAAAGTTGGAAATAATGAGTTGTTGTGTAGTGTTCAAGGAGGGTGTAGTCACTTAAACCTAAATGATATCCTAACCTTTCCCTAAGCCTACATTACAAGCTTAACAAAGTCCTTTGAGATTTCTAACCAAAAGGAGTTAAGTCAGTATTGATTGAAAATATGGGCAAGCCTATGGTGTGACATTTGTGTGCATGAGACGATTCTTTGTGAGTGTGAGTGTTGCATCTTTGTCCCTTGTCTTGTTTATATGTGTGTGGTTTTGGGATACTTCTTTCTTGTGAGGGCATGTAAGTTGAAAAAGTGGTGATTTTGAAAATTCCTAATTGAGACAAGTGAGCATGTGAATGAGTTAATGAGTGGAGTCATTTCTTGAGTTTGAGTTGTTTTCACTTAAATGATTCTTGGTTTTTGAAAATGTTTCATGAGAATGAGAGGATTTCTTTTGTGAAAAGTTTGTATGTGGACTATTTGTTAGTACCAACCGAAGTCCATTACCTTTGTGCTTAATTGAGAAGGGAAATTGATTTGTTGTGTGTTTTGAAATAAGAGCCTCTTGTGTTTTTTATTTTCTTTACTTGAGGACAAACAAGGTTTCTAAGTTGGGGGTGTTGATGAGTGGTGGATTTCCACTCATTTGGGGTTCTTTCGTAGTTATTTTGGCTTGCTTTAGTTTAGAAATTGGTGATTTTAATGTGGTTTTTTTCATATTTGCATGAAAATGAAATGGAGAGTCGATTTAGGAGATATTTGAAGAAACCAAGTGAACTTGAGGCAAAAAGAGGTCAAGAGCTGAAAATGCGATTTCTGGCAGGGGAAAGTATCCTTCACGAACGCGCTTGAAGAAACCAAGTGAACTTTATTTGCCTATTTGAATGTTTTCATTTAGGGGAAGACGTTTGCTAAACCTGAACTCAAATCATGCATTGAGGAGTTTGAAGAAAAGTTGAATAAATTCGACATTGAGAGGAAGGAACAAGAACTTACTGCCAAAAATGCTCAAAGCCATCAACAGAAAGTTGAGAGCTTGGACAACATCACGGTGACTGAAAAAGAAGAAGAGGAAATCAGTGAATCTGAAATTACTGGTGCCTACACTCAATCATAAACTTATGCACAGTCCTGGAACAATTTATATCTTCCTTAATCTCCCAGCGCAGTGCCTTGTTGGAAATACTTGAGTCCATCCTGACTACTAAATCTCTGGAAGGTCTTCGTGCAAGTCAACTTGCATGTAGGGTAAGCATTATTTCAAACATCTATGTTCACCTATCTCCTGCTACTGCCTTTTATGTTCTCTTTTGGGTAATTGAGTTTGCTGTGTAGTTGGTCTAGGTTTGTGTTATTTTTTCAGGATAGTGGTGACTGTTCAGGAAAGCAACCTTTGCATCCACAGAGCTAGAAGCTTTGGGGTACTCTCAAGATGAATCAGTTCTTCAAAAGTTCTAGAAGCTTTGTGAACGCCAACTACCTGCAATTTAGTAGGTTTATCCTTGATCCATCCTCCTCACCTCCCATAACTTCAGAAACAGCCAACAACAAAAAACTCTTATTAGGGGGTTCATGGGGTTTGGGGAGCATTGAGTCAATACCTTGGGTTATTTTCCCATCTTTGCTCCGTTTATTTTGAGCTTTTTGATTACCATCACATGGACCTGTTTGATCAACTTTATCAGGGGAATGGGGTTGTTGGGAGAGTTAAGTCAATACCTGACTTTTCCACCTGCTGCTTTTTGAAATATTTTCCTGCAAATTTAGGTTGTTCACTGGTTTGTAGACTTTATTTTGATGACCATGGCCTTGCTGACCTTTGTTATTTTTCCTTTTTTTGAGTTTACCACTCATCCATTTGTTGTTTGTCCATCTCAGGTTGTGTTTGTTGCAATTTTTTTGGGTATCCTAAGCACCTTAAACACTAGCAGTGATATTAGCATTAACCTGTGGAGGAGAAGTTTGGGGAATTACCTGATTTCTGGCATTTGCAGTCTTCTTGCCCTTGATTTTATTTGCAGCTTGAGCTTCTTTTCTCTTCTTGTATTCCTCATCTTTTCTCTTTATGTTACAAACTTGTGATATGTGTCCTTGGTGTTTGCAATAAGAAACTCTGGTAGTCCCTCATATTGGATGGCTTGCCATCTTCCCACAGTAAAGTCTTCTTCATCAAACCCCATCCAAACATGAGGAGGTCTTTCTTTCGTAATGTCTATTTGCATCCTAATTCTTGCCACACTGCCTCTATTTTTTTTTTTGGAGAGATGCAGCATCCAAATATAATGTTTACCAATAGGAGATAGGAGGGAAGTCAAAAACTCTTTGTTATAGCAATGCCAAGGTAGCTCTGGTAGAGTAACCCCTACATGCACGAATGGGGGTCTCTTCCTCAGGAGTGTAGGTGGGGTCTAGACTTGGAGTCTCATTATTGATCCTCAATGTACATCTTTTGTATGTTCCACACAGAAATATGATCTTCTTCGTTGTCCAAGCCAATATAAATATGCCTCGTATTAAAGTGAGCTATTTTGACACCACAAGTAAGCTGAGTATGAAGGTAAAACTCTTCCTGATAAATTCAATTTTTGGCGTAGTGTTTGTGAACTTCCCAACCATAGTGTATTTGCATCTTGAAGCTAATTTCACCAAAAAATCCTCTTTTTAAAAAATCACTACTGGCAGGCCTTATCTTGTAGGGAGTGTAGGAGTCGATATCTTAATAGGGATTTCATTCTTAGCTTGGTTAGCTCGTAGTCTTGTTGCAAAAGTTTGGATCACAGTGAAAGGACCTGGTTCAAAGGTCAGCACATTTTTGGTGTTTGTACAATGATCATGGTGTCTAAAAACTTTGGTATTATTTTCCATATGAGATTTCTGTTTCTTTTGAGGGTTGTTGGGAATATATTTATCGAAGTTGGAAGTGAGTTTAGTGAGATTATGGGGAATATGAGCAGTAGGCTTTTGGGAGGTGGTAGATACATCTTTAGTTCTACTCTCTTCAGCATTCAAAACCTTATGATTGATGGAATTGTTAAGATCAACAGGGACAGGATTTTGTCTAAGACGAACCTGCCAGTTCCTTTTTTCCTTTTTCAACAATCTGCATAGAATGTGTCAGCGCACTCAAATGTTGCTCAATTGCATCAGATTGCAATTGAGCTTCATTTTTAACAAACATCTTGGGATCATTAAGCATTGGATGAGCATTAGTATACTTACCTTGATCAGCAAGAGGTCTTATATTACCACTTACATTCATTTGTTGAGGTGCAGCTTCATTACTAACACAATTAATACTATCCGAAGAGATTGAGATAGAGTTGCTTAGTATACTTACCTTGATCAACAAGAGGTCTTATATTACCACTTACATTCATTTGTTGAGGTGCAGCTTCATTACTAACACAATTAATACTATCCGAAGAGATTGAGACAGAGTTGCTAGGACACTTTTCTTGAGGTTTTGTGATTCGTTTGTTGGAATTTTGTTGAACATTTGGTTGATCATTGCCAGACACAACTTCTTTATCATTATTGAGTATTTTCAAGTCTTGATCAGGCTGCTCAGAACTTACCCCTGCCTTCTATAGCATTTGAAATTCATGTATTTCTTTGTGTTTGAAGGACCCGATTTTGGTTCACAACCTGGCCTTGAGCTATTAAAGGTTAAATAAACTGGCCTTCTTCACCTGAGTATGTGACCTTTTGACTATTAGGATGAGAATTTTGCACCTTCGTCTCACCTTGACGGTAATCGTCGACTGTTTTTGAGCTTATGAGATGTGTTTTCTTGTGTTGAGTATTTTGGCATCTATTTAGGAAATCTATGTACAATTTTAAGAAGGGTAGAGAATAAGTTATGTGGGTATTAGTTATACATGGATAAAATTATAAAGTTACATATTTACCCCTTTTTTTTTTCCATAAGGGTAGCTTAGTTTAGGAACAAATTCTGAAAGGAACGGTAATATATGAATTAACACTAGTATATATACAAATTAATAAGCAATTATAATATTTGGTTTAAAATATTTATATCTTTAAATAATAAAAAGTATTCTTGCTAGAATTCACAAAGTAGTATTTTAGGAAGTAGCAATCACCGCTTAAGTTGTTTTCTCATTTTTTGACATCACTCTTTCAATTCTCCACATTATTGATAATTTCTCTGACTTTTATAAGGTATTCTTTAATTCACTTTTAATTTTTCTTGTGTATTTAACGTGATTCAAGATTAGAAAAAAATATATATTTAAACAATATCATTATCAGTTGATTTTTGTTTGGGACATGTATATAATTAATTTATTACAAATCAAACTTTCAATACGAAATGATTCATGTAATATTATTCATACATAACTAATAATTGCATAACTAATACCTGCATAACTTATACCTGCATAACTATAATCAGTAATCAAACGACCCTTTTGGGTAAGATTAAGGTTTATGCCTTAGGGTTTATGGTTTAGGGTTAAGGGTTTAGGATTTAGGCCTTAATATTTAGGGTTTATGGTTAGGGATTTAGGATTTTGGCACTCTTAGTTTAGGGTTTAGGTTTTATGGTTTAGGGTTCAAGGTTTAGTCCCAAAAGTTTAGGATTTAGGGTTTAGAGGTTAGAATTTATGATTTACGCTTAAGGATTTAGGCCCTAAGGTTTAGAGTTTAGGGTTTAGGATTTAGGATTTGGGCACAAAGGTTTGAGGTTTTGAGTTTAAGGTTTAGATTTTAGGTCCTAAGTTTAGGGTTTAGGCCCTATGAGTTAGTGTTTATGGTTTAGGACTTAATGGTTTAGATTTTAGACCATAAGGTTTAGGGTTGAGAGTTTATGGTTTAGTCCCTAGGGTGTACGGTTTAGGGTTTAGGCCGTAAGGTGTAGGGTTTAGGATTTATGGTTTAGGCCATAAGGTATAGGGTTGAGGGTTTAGATCCTAAGGTTAAGTGTTTTTGGTTTTTGGATTCTGGATTATGATTTAGGGTTTAGAGTTTAGGCTCTAAGGTTTAGGGTTTAGGATGTGAGGTTTACAATTTATTGTTTATGGTTTATGGTTTATGGTTTAAGGTTTCGTTTTTATGGTTCAAGTTTTAAGGTTTAGGCCCTAATGTTTAGGGTTTATACTTTAGTGTTTAGGGTTTAGGGTTTAAGGTTTATATGGTTTATGGTTTAGGGGTTAGGCCCTAAGATTTAGAGTTTAGAATTTATGGTTTAGATTTTAGGGTCTAGGTCCTAAGGTTTAGGCTGTAGGGTTTAAGCCATTTGGTTTAGAGTTTAGGGTTTATGGTATATGGTTTAGGATTAAGGCAAGTTAGGTTTAGGATTTAGGACCTAAGTTTTAGAGTTTGGGGTATAGGGTTTCGAGTTTAGGGTTCAGGCCCTAAGGTTTAGGGTGGTCTATCTTAGTTTTTGATCTTTAGTTTGTGTCTTTGTTTTTGTTTAAATAATTGAGATATGGATTGATGATGCCCAATGATGGATAGATTGACGACTTTCTTAAGGGTAAATCGTCGATTGTTTGCGAGTGTTTGATTGGTGTTGGATGTGGTGAAGTGTGAGTAGGGTTTAGGGTTTAGGGTTTAGAGATAGCTTTAGGTGTTAATGCCCTAAGGTTTATGGTTTGGGGTTTAGGCCCTAAGGTTAAGGGTGTAGGTCCTAAGGTATATGGTTTAGATTTAGGCCCTATTAAATGATTTTGAATGTCATATCACTGGTGTGTATGCTTCTAACAGAAAATTGGAAAGGAGACTGATATGAGAGGAATTAGCTGATGTTAGAAGTCTGATGGAGGGGCCATGGCCTATCTATGGTTCATTTAATATATGTTGATTCCCATATCAAAAAAGGACTGCATTAGGAGAACTTCAGCTATGGGAGAATTTTCAGATTGTATGGAGGGCATGGAACTAGTTGATTTGCAGCTTGATGTGGAACTTGCACTAGGTTTAAAGGATAAGACCATACTAATTTCTCTGGAATAGATCCACATAATGCAATAACTAATTTAGTAATCTAAAGCAGTCTACTCTACAAAGAGTGGTTTCAAATCATGTCCCAATTGCTCTGCTGTGTTTAGGGTTTAGGATTTATGGTTTATGTTTTAGGGTTTTGGCATTAAGGTTTAGGGTTTAAGGTTAAGGCCCTAAAGTTTAGGGTTTAGTCCCTATGGTGTAGGGTTTAGTCCCTAAGGTGTAAGGTTTAGGGTTTAGGATTTAAGGACCCTAAGACTTAGGGTTTAGGATTTGGCCCTAATGTTTAGGGTTTATGATTTATGGTTTAGGCCCTAAAATTTAGGTTGAAGGTTTAGGGTTTATGGTTTATGATTTTGGGGTTAGGGTTTAGAGTTTAGGTCCTAAGGTTTAGGGTTTAGGCACTAAGGCTTAGAGTTCATGGTTTATGGTTTAGGGTTTAGACCCTACGGTTTAGGATTTAGGCACTAAAGCTTAGAGTTAATTGTTTATGATTTAGGGTTTAGGCATAATGTTTAGTGTTCAGCGTTTAGGCACAAAGGCGGGTTTCAAGTTTATGGTTTAGGTTTAGGTTTCTGGGTTTAGGCCCTAAGACTTAGAGTTTAGGATTTATATTTTAGGTCCTAAGGTTTCAGGTTTAGAGTTTAGAATTTAGGGTTGGGTGTAGGGTTTACGGTTTTACGCCCCAAGATATAGGGTTTAGGCCCTAAGTTTTAGGGTTTAGGATTTAGGCCCTAAATTTAGGGGTTAGGATTTAAGGATTAGGTCTTAAGATTTAGGGTTTATAAATTTATGATTTTGGTCCTAAGATTTATGATTTAAGGTTTATAATTTAGGTTTTAGAGTTTAGGCCCTTAGATTTGGAGTTTATGTTTTATGGTTATGGTTTAGAATTTTTATGGCACAAGGTTAAAGGTTTAAGTCCTAAGGTCTAGGCTTTAGGGTTTAGGCCCTAAGGCTTAGGGTTTTTGATTTTTGGTATATGTTGTAGGATTTACGTAGGGTTTAGGTTTTACCCTAAGGTTTAAGGTTTAACGTTTAGGTTTAGGGTTTAGGATTTTACCCTAAGGTTTAAGGTTTAATGTTTAGGGTTTAAGCCTTAAGGTTTAGGTTTAACGGTTTTAGGTCCTAAGGTAAATTTACGGTTTAGGATTTGGCCCAAAGGTTTAGGGTTTACTGTTTAGGCCCTAAGGTTTAAGGTCTAGAGATTTGGGTTTAAGGTTAGGCCCAAAGGTTTAGGGTTTATGACTTAAGTTTTTTTTTTAATGACCCTTGAGCCAGGGGTTAGCAACACCCCCAGGCCTTATCATTAATAAATCAAAAAACCTTACCTCCGATCGTATGGTGGTTCATAAGTCGGCTATCCTACTAAGGACGGCCAACTCAACCCCGATACTAGAAAAGAAACCTAGATCAACTGTGAACCTAGAAGAGAGGACTCTTCTCAATACAAGTAATATAGGAAAGCGATAAATAAGGGAGACTCTCCCTTTACAAAGTAAGAAGAAAAAACAAAAAGCAAAAAAACAAAAGGGCATCTTTAGATGAACCATATGGAAAGCTGTCGGATCAAGGTGGTTCTCTGATCTTCATCTTTCTTCTTCTAAAATTTGGCTTCTCAGTCTTGTCTAGAATATAGTATCCTCTAGCTTCTTTGGTAGCTGGTGGACATGGAAGTAATGTTGAGGGACTTCACTGTTATGGCTAGTTTTAGATAAAACATCAGCCATAAAGTTAGTCTCTCTAAAGGTGTGATTACAGGAAAAGGATTGGAATTGATCACATGTTCTCTTAAGGTTAGCTACAGTATGGTGCAAATTCCAAGGTGGAGCAACTTCTTGTTTTATCCAGTGAACCTCTAACTCAGAGTCTACTTCCAAAATCACCTAGTTAAAACCATTATTTAGACACCAAGATAGACCCCATTGAGCAGCTTCAATCTTTGCTTGGTTGTTGGTACCATGGCCTAGTGGAGTAGCATAAGCATAGATTAAATCACCTAGGGCATCTCTAAACAAATACCACCAGCCCCTATCTTTCCTGGGTTGTCTAATGCACTACCATCAGAGTTGATTTTAATCACATTTGTAGGTGGCTTAAACCAACTTACCTTGGTAATTTTGATATCATGGAAGCAATTTCCTGCAAACTGTATCAACTCAGGCCACTTGCATGGCCATTTGATGTAAGGAGAGTTGATGAGTAGGAGGTTGTTGATATCTTTAAGCACCAAGTATATCACTCTAGTGATATTATAGTTGTTTCCTCCATATTTGCATGCACATCTAATTTTCCACAGGTTCCAACAAGTAAAGATATTGATTTACTGCAGACATCAAGGCCACAAGGTTCATACATGCAATGTCAAGAGGAGAGATGCTGAATATCGAATAAGAAAGGCAGTGGAAGCAGCAAACAAGAACAAACCCAAAACAACACAAGGAAATGATACTCATGTAACTACTCTACCAATTAATTATCAGCCTGTTAAGAATAATATTTCTGCTACTGTTTCAGGTACCAAGAACAGCCATCAAGAACTCATCAGGATCAACAAAAAATGCAAGGAGACCAATGGCAGACACAAAAGAAAAAGAACTTTAGAGGCTATCCTCAAAACAATCAGAGGAATCACCCAAACAACCAACAAAATCAGGTTTATAAACCAATACCACATCAGAATGAGACCAGTAAGGAACCACAAAAAGGTATTGAATCAATGCTCCCCTCCCCTCCCCTCAACCCCGTGGTAGTGTTGCAGTCCCCACCTCCAGTGTTGCCCCTAAATTTTATCAGGACAATCAAAGCAAGGATGCCAACAACAAGCAAGTTATTGACTCAATGCTCCTCACCCCTCAACCCTATGGTAGTATTGTTGTCCCCATTCCCAGTGTTTCCCCTAAAGTATTTCATAACAAGCAAAGCAAGGACGCCAACAATAAGCAAGGTATTGACTCCATCAACCCCACCCAATTAATAATTGTGTTGTTTTACCTGGATCTATCATCTGAGAAGTCTGGAGGTGTGAAAAGGGGTATGCATGAGAAAATCACTAATTTGCAGGAAGGGAACCAAAAGGGGGTGGTAGTTCACTAGTTCTAATATGGATGACCCTAGGATTGACCTTAGAGCTCCTATGATACAAGGTAACATCAACAACAAGATCAACATGACTACTCAAAATGACACTCAGAATCTGAGTCCAGTTTAGACTGAAGATATAGACCTTGCTGCTGAAGATTCTCTAGATTATGAGTCTATGGAGGGGCCTGAATTAGGTTACAATGATTATGAGGGTGAGGTGAACTCAGGCAGGGTTGAGGTTAATGCTCTAGTTCAACAAGAAAAAGGGAATCCTGTGTATAAAGAAGTTGATTCAAGGGGTCATTTTCAGGCAGCAACTCAGACCATGAGTCAGGTGCAGCAGCAACAGTATTACGTAGGAAGGTCAACAAAATAAAGAGAACTCTAATGTTGTTTTACATCAGTCTGATGTGGTGGGGGAAGGGACTCATGTAGAAACACTATTGAAATAAAAGGGCTAAATAATAGATCTTCAGAGAAGATGAATCAGAAGAAAAGTGAAGCTTATAGAAGAAGATAGGAAAAATTAGCTCTTGAGGAAGGAAAAGAGAAGGAAAACCAGCAATATTTAGCCCGGAAAAAAGGAAGAAGACCAGCTAGTTCAAAGGAAAAATGCACCATCAACACAATCCCTGAGACTACTAATAAGGCCCATGATCCTCTAGAAGAGTACAAAATGGTTCACTATGAAGATGAATTGGATAAAGATATGCTACCTGTGAATGATCAAGAAGAAGCTTAATTATAGTTTAGGCCCTTACGTTTAGGCACTAAGGTTAGGGCTTAGGATTTAGGTTTTAGGGTTTAGGCCCTAATGTTTTGGGGTTTAGGTTTAGGACCTAAGCTTTATGGTTTAGGGTTTAGAGTTTATGATTTAGGACCTAAGGTTTAGAGTTTAGGATTTAGGGTCTAGGTTAGGTTTAGAGTTTAGTTTTTAGGGTTTATGCCATGAGGTTTAGGGATTAGGGTTTAGGGTTTGACCCAATGGTTTTGGGTTTAGGGTTTATACCCTAGGGTTTGGGGTTTAGGGTTTAGTGTTTAGGCCCGAAGGTTTAGGGTTTAGAGTTTATGGCTTATGATTTAGTCCGTAAGGTGTAGGGTAATGGGTTTAGGGTTTAAGGTTTATCGCTTAGGGTTTAGGACCTAAGGTTAAAGGTTTCAGAGTTGTGATTAAGGTTTTTTGTTAGGCCCTAAGGTTTAATATTTAGGGTTTAGACCCTAATGTTTAGGGGTTATGATATATGGTTAAGGGTTTATGCCTTAAGGTTTAGGATTTAGGATTTAGAGTTTAAGGTTTATGGTTTAGGGATAAGGGTTTAGGCCCTAAGGTTTAAACACATATGTTTTGATGGTATCTCAAATTCTAGTAGTTCCTTAAAAGATAGATGTTTTGTTAACATCTTTTTGATTCCTTTTAATGATATTTCACTTATTTTCATAAAATAAAAAATAAAAACAAAAGGGATTCCTTAGGTATCCCATCAGGTAGGGGCTTCAATCCAGTTTGGGGTCAAATATCTCGCTCATCATTGCACCATTTTTAAAACCAAGAAAAATATGAAGGTAGGCCTGTAGCAGCAATAATTGAATTTCTGTTTCTATTTCTCCCTTCTTTTATTTGAATTATATTTCTGTTACTTTTCTTCAAACTTTGAGGATGTCTAGTTGGGTATACTGACTCTAAACTACATTTATGTAGGTCAATGATGGCAGATTGCGTACCGCCGGTGAGGCTTCTCAACGAGTACTAAAGAGGATTGGGCAGAGTGGATGAGGCATTTCAGCATTGTACTTTTGAAAGAATCACCTATCCAGCATTAAGAACATGTGCAAGACTGGCTCAACTACAGGTATTACCTCTTCAACATCCTCATCCTCATCAGATACCTTCATCTCAAAAATAAATAAATAGAGAACCTCTTTTTAATGTTCATAAGAAAAAGAACCAAAAGCTAAAAGACTTTCTAAAAAATAGGAAGTGCTTCTAGTTGTCTTACCTTTTTATAATGTTGAACTTTTGCAGCCTTTTTTTGGGCGGGAGCTGTTTGCTGCAGGTTTTGTTAGTTGTTGGTCACAACTTAGTGAGGCTAGTACAGAGTTTAGAAATGACGTTTTCTTCTCCAAATATCCCGCCTGAAATTCTTGCTATACTTTTGAACTTGGTTAGTTTTTTTCCACATTTTTCAATTTTGAAGATATTGATCCATTGATGTTCTCACGAAATGATGGTGTTAATGTGAAATTTGAGTTCAAAATAGAGGCATTTACATGTTTTTCATATACAGGATTGTAGGAGAATCAGCTTAATGTATACAAGAAGATTGAATTGTCCCCTTTTAACATGTTCAGACTGCTTGAATATAGGTTCTCCAGAATAATTACCTTAACAAGATAGTCCCTCCATTTTTCCTGTAATAGATCGCCCCTAGAAAGAGTAGAAGTGCTCATAATTAAATCATAATGGTAATAGTAGGATCTCGTAGCCTTTGAGTAATTTGATGTTGTTTGTTTTAAGTGGTTGGGTGCTGGGGGGAATATCATTGTTTAACAATGTTTTTTTTTTTGGGGGGGGGGGGGAGGGTAGAGAATTATATGGAATCATCACCTAGATTGTACTGTGGTTTTACCTGATGCATGTGAAAAATTCTAGTTGTTTCCTTTTGCGGTGCTTAATGTTGATAAAGGGGTAACCTAAGCGCTAAAAGTTGTGTTTGTTCCTAGAACTTGATATCGGATCATACTCGTGGGTCTCTTTTAGGGTTTTATTGGTTGAAAGTATGTTGATTGGTATCCGAGAGGAAATCTACTTGCAATTGCAAAGGTTCATACTTCTTTAAAAAAGATGTTGTAAAGGTTCGTGGAAAATATTTGGGCGAAGAGAGCTCTTGGTACAAAATACAGCTGCTATTGACATATTTTTTTATTTATGACATTAGATCCTCTAGGACAAGTATGGAACTGTGTTTTGTGCATTTCAACATATGGAAGGGATTGTGGGAATAACTGAACTTCTAGTGAAGTGACTCAAGAGTGAAGACTAAGGGCTAAGGAGAGCTGCTACCATTTTAAAAAAGAGTTGAGACTAAGGAGAACAGATAGACCAAGGATGGAATTAACTTTCAATTAAGTGATCATCCAATCTGAAGGAGTTGCATAGTAAGACAGTAATTACATAGGAGCGGGGGTTTTACCCTGTGCGCACCCAAAGGGTAGCGGTTGTAGGTTTCCCTTGTCATAAAAAAAAAGGATGATATCAAGTGGATGATTAGTTATGGGTGTAGTCAAATTAGAAAGAACTAACTGTTTCTGATTTTCTTTTTTATCTAAACTCTCATATTCTTTACTTGGGTGATTGCCGATGTTTTTTGGAAATGATTGGCTCAATATCTGAAGGAGTTGCATAGTAAGACAGTAATTTGTCCTCTGTAAAGCTGCAGTACTATAATTTTTATTTTAGTTTGGCTAATTGTACTTTCCAGGTGGAGTTTATGGAACATGATGAGAGACCCCTTCCTATAGATATCCGTTTGCTGGGTGCTCTAGTGGGGAATGTGGGTTTATTCTGACATTGTGCAGTTGATTGACATATACCTTCTGCTATTAATTAGTTCAGTAGTATCCATAATGAGCTAATCTTTTCAGTGTCGAGTATTTGCAAAGGCCCTACACTACAAGGAAATGGAATTTAAAGGCGCACTTTTTCAAATAGGAGGGATGCGAATCTTGTTGCTGTAGTTGTAGCTCTAATCCATATAAATAATCAAGTACATCAATACGAGGTCTTGATTTCTTAGATGGTTTTTATAGCTTACATATGTTTCATACCGACTTTTTGTTGATTACACTTAATCGTGCTTGACATCTTCAGGCAGCGGTTGGAATATTAACATATGCTCAGCAGCATTTGGGGGTTCAATTGAAGGAGTCATGGTACTGTTGATTGTTGCATTCTGTTGTACTGTTTTAATTGCAGCTCATCTTTGCCTGATAATCTTAGTAAGTTACTATAGGCTGCACAAGCTTTAACGTGAAATGGTGGTCTCAAATGTATCTTCTGCTTCACTGATGTCATTGCTATTTGTCGATTTTTAAGGTATGAGAAGTTGCAACTCTGGGATAGTGAATGCATGTTTAGGACTAGTTTAGGCTGCTAATGCTTCCTGGAACATGGGCGAGTGGGATCAGATGGCAGAATATGTTTCTCAGCCTGACATGGTGGTGAAACCAAACTCTGAGTCTTGGGAAATACTGCTTCTAGCAGTGATGGAAGTAGTAATGGCATCTTTTTTAGGATCTTTCTTCTAGTTCGTCGAGGGAAGGTAGTCCATCCATTTTTCACTCATTCATCTGTTTTGATGTTGTGACATGCTCTGCTCTAGTGTAATATTTGTACTTGCACCTCTTCTTCCATTAGTACGATGAAGCATGTGAATATTTCGAAAGAGTAAGGAAATGTTTGGCAACCGAGCTTGTTGCACTGGTTTGTGTCTTTATCTCATTATCTCATCATCTCCTCCCCTTTTATACTCATTTGATGAATTATACATGATTTTATATCAAAATTGTTGACAATTCTCTATTAATTGATCTAGGTTCTTGAGAGCTATGAACGTGCTTACAACAACACGGTTCGCGTTCAACAACTTTCTAAATTAGAAGAGGTGACATATTTTTAGCCTTTTCTATGAAGTGATTCCTAATTGCTGTGATTTTTAATGATCTGAGAATTCATTTTCATCTTATTCTAATTAGGTCATTGAGTACTGTACTCTTCCTCATATGGGAAACCCTGTTGTTGAAGGAAGAAGAGCCCTTTTTCCCAATATGTGGAATGAACGCATAAAGGGTGCAAGAAGAAATGTCGAGGTAAATTTCAGAACTTCCCTCAGTGAGTGAGTTGCATTTTTGTTGTCCAATCATGATTTTTTGATATTTTAAATCCGGAAATGCTTACATGAGAGCTTGGGTAACTAGTTTATGGCCTTTGTATTCATTCTGAAACTCATGGTGTCTTACAGAAACTCCGTGGCGCGACCCAACCCACTGGGTCGTGAGGGCACTTACTCTAACACCTAGATTGGAGAACCCTTAGTCCCCAAACAATTCATCATGCAGAAAAATTAAGAAGATAAGAGATAAAACGAAATGTTCATGAAGTTTACAAGACACTGAGTTTAAGCAAAACCAAGATTGAATTTCTTGAATAATTAACACCCCAGGGATCTAGCCTAAACAGGTACAAGAGCTACTAAAGATATGTCAGTAAATAGAATAATATTATGACACAACTCCCACCATAGGGAAGGAAAAGTATAAGTTGTTGGAGATCATTTTCGTCTTCTCCTATGAAACATCACTAACCCTGCAACAAGACTATGCCAAGTTGCATAGCTAGAGTAGTATCAATACAAGCAACATATACCGGTAGGCATCATCGGTCAACCCGATACCCAACAACTAATATAAAGAAATCAACCAGAAGAAAACATGCTATAAGGAAAATACCCGCCAACCTTTGCACCCACACTCTGACCACCTTTTTTGTCTTAACCACAACTAGGGAACAACACAGTGTTGGCCTTCTATTTGCATCGCTACCAACTCTGATTTAGATTAAGGTCTAACCTTTCTATCACACATTGAGGAGTTCCCGAAACACACATCGCCCCCAACCCAACTAACTAACTTACTACACACGCCTAATATTCTGCATTACAACAATTCGACCCTTGACCAAATAGTATACCATAACAAGGCTCACTAACCACTCTGATACGAACCCCCCTTCCCGGGGTAGATCCTAGTCATTCATCACCATTCCCTCTACTCTGCCTCTTACTCTCACACCTCCTCATACCAGGGATACATAACACAAATAATGTCATCACAATATGGAAACTAGTAACATTTAGACTAATGGTTCTGTCATATCCATTATTACACAGATGGGTATGATCAATCACTGTTCTTTCCGTTTCTCAGTTATGGTAGAGGAAATCATATTCATTCATCGATAATCAGTCAACAATGGTCCTCTCATGGAACCCACGCCCAAGCTGTTAGTGTGTCGAAACGTGACACTCGATCCAATAATGTGTCGGAACGTGACACCGATCCAATAATGTGTCGGAACGTGACACTCGATCAAATTATGTGTCAGAACGTGAAACCCGATTCAATCAACCACAATCACAAACACAATTAACACCATAATGAATGATTTACACACTTGTATCGTACAATCAAGTAACAGGTTCATTGCATGCAGTGGATCACAAATAGTCATTTTATTAGATTCATTTCTTTTTTTTTAAACTGGTAATGTTGTATTCCTCAGCATTATGGTATGCTTAGATTCATTTCATCTTTCCCTATTCACATACATGCATGAATACAACGAAGCAGTTAACAGGCATATATAACTCCGACAGAAAATCAAACCATCACCTACCCCTAAATTCACAAGATAAGTCCACCCATACAGTACACACTAGTTCATTCACAGGGACCACACTTGCTATCCTTCCAATGTCGTGCCCAAAGGCCTAAACATGAAATATCCAGTCGACTTACAATATATTAGGCAGTGGGAACGAGTTATCAACTACTCAGTAAAGAAAACCTAGCCTACCTGTGCGCCAAGCAGCTGTATTAGGATTATAGCACGACTCCTAACTTCTGTACAGCAAAACAATAGAGGCAGGCCTGGAATTCATGGTTTGTAGCCTTTCTTGCGTTAGAATTCCTCATCTCCTTCCTCCCCAAGCCTAAATTAGCCTTTTGAGGGTTTTTAGGGTGACCCTCGTCTATTTTGGCACTTAAGGGAGGAAGGGGAAAAATAAGAATTCGCGTCTTTCAATTCTGTTTAGGACTATCCCGCCATGGCGACTCCCATCCCGATGTGGCGGGGTTATTCTCGCTATGGTGGGAAGGTACATGTCTGGAAAATTTAGTTTTCCGAAATACGGTTCAGGTCTTTACACTTCGTCTGGTCTTTTTCCTGTCTTAATGTGATTCCATGCTCTCTCTCTCCTTGAGTTATAAGTTCTTATTCCTCTGGCAGATCATTTATCTGAACATTTTGCCCAACATATTCTTATTTTTTACATGTCTAGACTTTTAGCTGTGAGGGCACGTGTATTGCCTCCTACAGAATATATAGAAACATGGATCAATTTTGCATCACTCTATGGAAAAAATGGAAGAATTAGCCAAGTAAGATGTAACTCCCCGAAATATGAGCGTCTACACTACCCAGGAAGTCGTCAAGGAGTGCAGACCGAGCAGCACCCATGTCAGACATGCAGGCACCGTGTGTCGAATGAGGGGATGAAGTAGGATTATGAGGCAAAGGACCATGGCAAGAGGCACAGCCATTTGAGTTGAATACATGTAAATGCCATAGCTAGACATGACAAGGGTGACACAATGAGGGAAGCCTTGAGGCAGACCTCTTTACAGGTAAAAGGATCGTATTGAGGAAACTAGGAAAACTTGCAAGGCTGGCCCTATGCTATGGGAAGCTTTGAGCGCCGACGGGTAAATTGTGTGTCGCTGAACACAGTTGAAAATAGGCCTGTGACAAGTGGTATCAGAGCTTGGTTTGAGCCAAGTTGTTGCGGAAGTGTGAGCAGCATGCTGGAAGAGTAGGTTGGAACCTACCGCATGAGCAAGCTAGAGCTTGCAAGTTGATCGTGATGTGCACACCACTACTGTGAAGTTGGGCCTAAATGCAGGCGTCTTTGCGAAAGATCATAGTGTCAAGAACAGGTTGAGTCAGCCATCGGGTGTGTAAGGGGCACGTCTGCCGAATCATTCATGAGGAGGCATAGTGGCCAAAGTACTATGGTAAGAAATTAATCAAGGTAGGATTAGTCGAAGCGTCTGAATTGGATGGGTATCCAAGTTCGTGAATGAAGAATTTCCAAGAGTAAAAGGTTGTGCCGGATGCCCCAAGATGTTAGTGTCGTGCACGCCTTGCCATCGGCTAAGTTGAGAATTGGGAGAACCAATACCCTCACCATTGGCCAAGCCGAGGTATGTTCATGTTGTTGATTGCAAGCGTTTGAAAGGAATGATATCTTCCAATGAAAGTGAAGACGCGGTGGGACTGCGAGTTATCCATAGGGGTGCTCAGATTCTGGACCAGGCTAGAGATGTCAAGGACATGCTTTCAAGGGCTCCAATACTCTAGTTTTGTTTGTGGAACTAGACGATTTTCACCATGATGTGTCAGTTACTAGGCCAGGCTTAAGGTGAGAGGTGCTCACGACATGTTTTCGAGGCCAACAATACTTTAGTCTTGTTCGCGGTACTCGTATCATCGCAAGAATATTGCAAGAAAGAATAGGGTTTCCATACAGCTGAAGGATGTGAGGGTCATGGTGTGGTTGGCTCGAGTGTCACCACGAAGTTAGTCACTAGAGGGGACAGGAGTGGAGACACCATCCAAGTGAACATCGGGAGGTGTAGAGCGGATGCAGCTTGGACAAAACATGGGAGGTGGAAGTGCAAGAGGCATGCCTCAGTCTTAAGAGGAGCTCGAAAGAGTTTCAACACACATGGATTAGGAACTACGATGTAAAGCCCCAAGGGGATAGACTTTTGGTCTTCGTTGGTGTCGTATGTCATCGAGACGATGACCTTCTTAGATGTGTGAGGGTGTAATGCCCTAGAATAGGCATCTACACTGGCCAGGAAGTCTACCAAGGAGTGTAGGCCAAGCACATCGCACCCATGTCAGCCATGCTAGCGACGTGTGTTGTAGGAGGGGCTGAAGTAGGATTATGAGGGAAAGGGAAATGGTAAGAGGCAACGTCCATTTGAGATGTTGCATGACATGCCCTAATAATGTCAAAGATGTTTGACAAGGACTTGGGGTGCACCTAAGGGCGAGGCCTATTGGCGAAGGCTGCGTGCAGCGAGGTATGTGACTGTCGGACGTTTTCGAGCTAAAAGTGAAATTTAGGGATTTCGGACTAGGATCCTGTTCCTAGCATGTTCTTATATATGCTTACCAAATTTTGGGCCATTGGAGTTCATTCGGATATGTCTTTGACTTGGCCCATTATGATTCTCTCGCAGAAGCATGTCAACTCCATGTCACATGGGCTTTATTATTTTTAGCATATATAAGGTCGCCTAGCAACCTCGCCCGGGCATTTTACCCCGAGTGTGCTTCCTTGAAGGGGAACTTCAATGGCCTGCCTAGGCATCTCAAAGGAGTTTCCTAGGTACCCATATAAGTTAAGGAATTAGCATATATAAGGGGTATATAAGGTCGCCTAGCAACCTCGCCCGGGCATTTTACCCCGAGTGTGCTTCCTTGAAGGGGAACTTCAATGGCCTGCCTAGGCATCTCAAAGGAGTTTCCTAGGTACCCATTAAGTTAGGGAAGCTCTATGGGCGGCATGTGTCTCTGTAGCGAACGTTGTACGTCCCGACGTCTGTGGAGGCTTGCTCTATATCGAACATTGGACCCTCCGAGCCGTTCTCCTTGTGGGAAAACACCTAGCCGAATGAGCAATCGAAGGACTCACTCCAAAGCCTCATGAGATAACTTGTGAGCTTGGCAAGGGGTCAACCAAGCGAGCAAGGGTTCGTTGGCCTAGACGTGCATTCGTGGGGCGATGCTGCACTGTGGGACCTGTATGCATGATGTGTAAGCTATGCCCAAAGACAGATGAAGGCACAGTAAGGAAGACGTACATGGCTAAGGCCAAGGATCAAATGTTGCCCTACTCGGGCAAAGCGATGACCAAGTGTTGATGCATGAGGCGACTCATAAGCTTTGAGGATTGGAGTGTGCATGCGGCAGCGATACTCAGGTCTTGACATGGCACAAGTATGTCCATAGTCGTTCCCAA